TCATAATAGATAGTAACGTTTTATACACTTTTTGAGAACCTGTTTGTATTCTTTTTCTCATTTTTAAAAATAAATAGGTCAAGAACGTGATAGTACTACGGTAATATCAGTTTACTCAAATAAAGATTCCCTTAAGTGGCTTTTAAGATGGTGAGAAATTATGTAAAAATATCTTCTTGACCGCAAATAGAATATCGCTAAGCAGAAATTATAAATAGGTTTCATTCTACGTCAATTATTTGCAAACCCACAGCACCTCCCAGTCTTTTCATATTGTCATGTAATTAAAACCTGTAAGGTACACCTATTCTATTGATGGGAAAATATGCTACGTAGGTTGCGTTGCACACAAGGATAGTGGCCGCCACCTTTTAAATCTCAAGTGGCTTTAAGATCACGCAATGATCTATTTCAGTGCTGCGGTCTATATGGCTGCCATGTGTCACCTAAGTTCAAAACATCCTAGGATGTTCATACCTACAAACCATAATAGCTTTTTATAGAGCTGCTTGTGTACAACACCTTGCAGCGAGGTAGATACGCCGAGTATCTTTTTAAATATTTTCTTGAATGCCAGATATGTACCTATATAAATATATTTAAACACTGGGTGGCTTTGCGCTTTCGGATCATTATTTCATTTAGTGTTTTTCACTAACAACTAAAAAATGGAACTAGCATAGGTTGTTGAAAACACAATGATACCTTTTATAAATTATAAGCATATCCAGTACTTTCAAAAGACATGTTAAATACTTACTTACAAATTGTATTTAACTTTTTCGCTGATATTCACACGATGAGAATTCGATCAAGTATGTTAATAAATTTTTGAACGATTTTCTGCTAGATAGAATGCTGGTAGAATCAAAGTCGAAACAAAATAATCTGAACAACTTGCATTGGTTCACGAAAAATTAGGTCTTTAAATAAATGTGCTCGTGAAGTGAAATATCAAATGCATTGAAATAAAGGTGAATGTGAATAGTTAATCCAGTTTGATATTACATTTTTCACACAATCTAACGGATTAATCAAGGTCCACGTTTAATTTCATTTCATCCTTAGTATTGTACCACAGCAAAACTGTTAGTATACCATCTTTCATCGCACAAGCACCTCTATCCCTAAATACGACGTAAATTAAGATAAATTTCTTATCTTTTACCGAAACAATTTTGGTCCGTCAATTACGTACCTTTATTAAGGCCAGATCGAAAAAGATGCCAACTGGACAAATAGATTAAATTGCAATTATTATGATGAGATAGAGATATCTAATATCTTTCTTGTTTAATAAAATGCTTTGTATATATTTAGATAAATGGGTAAGAAAGATATATGTATATTCATACACGGGAGCTTCATCTCGGCGTATCCATATCTTTTCATCTGTAAAAATGATTTTGTTTTACTTAATCAGACTTATGAGATCATCAGAGTTTTTGCTCATGCGATCATCATTAAAAGGAGAAAAATAAAGGCGTATTGGCTGCCATGTCAGAGTTGGTGATAGTTTCGCGCAAAAAAATATCTTTAATGTGTTACTTCCATCGATGCACATTTCAATAGATATATATGTATATAATAATGCATATAAAGCTGCTTTTACGACTTTGTACTAGACGTGTTGTTTATATTTTTTACTGAGTGCGAGCCCACTGACACAAGCTTTTGTTGCAACCTCGAACAAATTGTTCTTTTTTAATTATAGAAAGGCCCAAATATAAGCTGTTTTACCGTGTATTATTATGTAAAAATTTAATTGTCATACATACAGTTGATTTGATATAATTTTGATTTTTAATCATGACACGTGTTGCGCTGTCGTGACATCAGAACAGCATATGTAAATATCTAACGGAACAACAATGAATATTTGGAATTCTTACAGTCGCATTGCCCTTTAATAATGTACGGAATTGCTAAGTCGTCTAGGTGAAGAAGAAATTTATTTATATGCTTGAACCTTCACGTGAAAAGATTTACTTTATCATATTTTTCAATGAATTAAAATTTTTAGGCTAATGTGGATCGGTTATCATGGCGAAATGGACAAAATACAATTGAACTCGATATGTGATTTCTGAAATACATTTGTGCACAAGCCTAAATGAAATACGCAAGGTAGAGTTGCTGAAGGTTAATGATCTTCGATAATTATTTAGCAACTGACAAGGGATAAACCAATGCAACCAAGAAAATAGGACCATAACATTGTCCGGAAATAAAAGTTTGGCCAATTTGGGATAGCTCGACAAAAATGCACGCTTATTTTTTCAGATGGTGTGTTCAACGGACATTAAGGAGATACAGCATGCACTTAGATATAAAAAAGCATAAGCTGAGACGGTAAAAAACGCAGGACGACGTACTGCAATACAATATTACATACAATGAAATGAAGACGAGTGGAAATCCAGCAATGTCAATGATATTCTAAAATTCGTTCTTGTGTTTCATTTTTAGTGTTTTAAATAGTAGATAGATAGTTGATAGGCAATGAAACTAAATCGAGAGATAAATAGTCATTTTTGAATAATTATAAGAGTTCAGTTGTCGTAAACATATGTACATCTTTGTTCGTAGTCAACTTTAAGGAGATGGTGCATCACTATCGACTGCAGAGTATCGGATCGGCCATTGATCTATAATTTTCTGCGTAAAAAAGTGAATAAAAAGATTAATGACCGATCTAATCTCCATACTGTGCGTGGCATGCTTGATTACTAACCGCGATATACGTATTGCTAATAGAGCGTACATTCAAACATGTCGCGAGCAAACATTTTCATCTTCGAGGACTATCTCGAGATACTTGTTCTACGCAGTAGATTGGTCCGCCCGCATGTTGTCGGCCCTGTTGAAATCCCATGGTCGACGCGCGTTGCACAAACACTATCGTATCGCATTTCGCGTCTATGCGTTCCTCAATCAGTGATAAGCTCGATTGCACCATCATGTAGACGCAACATTTGTTGTACTTTTGACGTTGCAGTTCGGATGATAAGATTAGGATAGTAATTTAGTTAAGATCGACAATACACATTTTGGTGGAGTCAATACCGTTTCTTCAACCTTAACAGTGTCTTCGTCTACAAGCGTATGTCTGTCTTTCCGTTGCTACAATCTAGGCGCTTATATTACGCCAAACGTTTCTGAGTATTGTTTTTTTATTACATAACTTAGTCCGAGCATGATAGTATTGATATTTTAAATAAGTACAAACATCTGCATTGCAGCCAGCAACGTCACTGACGATACGTAGGCACTTCGTATGATGTATGCTTTTGCGATCTACGATTATTCGTCATTTAGTGCTGCAAGAAGCCGCTCTTTGAACATCATTTGCATCTTTATAAGCGAGACATTAACACCACGCTGCCTCATGCTCTGTGTATATGTCGATACCGCCAAGGCGAAAGGTACATATTATTACAACGTTAATTAATAAGGTATATATATTATAGAGATGCAAGGGATGTGGCCATATAATCATGTATTACTTAACGATGTCACGGTTATATTTAGGCGTAAATTGTCTCTATTCTTCTTTTTCAATGACTGTTGCGAGGATCAGATGTAAAGGGCCTAATTGATGAATGAAAGAGGGAAGGACGAAGATATGCGTGAGTGCATGCAAACAATCACAGATATGTTTATAGTCGTTCGAATGGTATTTACATGTCGCACATTTATTCTTTTTGTTTCTTCATGCATCATCAATGTTACTTCATGCCACAATATTGACTTTAAATCTGGTGTTTCAAAATTTACAGGAATAGGTGCAACGTTTCGATGCTCTTATCTCGTAATTCTTCGTATCGTTTTTTTATCATTTCCCTATTATGTTTTACCCGGACACTAACATGTTTTTATGCCTTTCGGAATATGTCGCTTCGCTGGATTCAACGAAGTTTTCTGCGATTGTTTTACAAAGTCTACCGCGAGCTTCAGGTCAGTCAATGCGTTCCATATTCCTACACAGTCTCGACTTTTGATGATGTCACGGTCAATGATTTGATGCCGTGTACGCTAATCTAAATTGTGGTAGGGGTGACGACTACCTGGTGTAAAAATCGTTCTTTTACGTTATTTTTGAACCTCCATTATGAGATCTAAAGATGCTATAGCAACAGCTACAACCCTCAAGTTTGCGCTTACATAATGCTTAATACCCAAAAGTCTTTGGTTCAGGAGAGGGCAGATCAACCAATAGCGATAAAACTCAGGATAGCGCTTACAATATGCTTAGTACCTAAACGTCGTTGATATATGAGACGACAGATCTAGAGCGGTGTTGATATACGAATCCAGCGCTGTGAATGCGTCGGTGTTCTATAGTATGTTCGCAGTAGAGAGTGACTGAGATGAAAGAAGTTTTATAGTAAGCACAATTGATGGCAATAGCTACCAATGATATTATGTATACTTACGTAGATCTTGATGTCGTCATGCTTAGACCACGAACAACACGATCATGAACTGCCTGACTCGATTTGTTAATATGCTTTGAGCTCATGCGATATGGTGCACTGTGAACATCGTGCCGCAATGCTATCTACAACGTGTATAGGGTTTAAACATTGCCTCATTCATAGCACAAATATTGCTGCGACATTGAATCGATGAGTAGGATGCATCAAATCGATCGCGTATCGACGTAACGGTGGTGCTGATGGACACCAATGCAGCAGTACCAGGTGACGTTTGCGTTGCTGTATGAACACCACGGTGTGCGACTTCACTTGGGCGCCTATATTATGTGCGGTCATTTCTGATACGTAGCCATTCCAAGGTGTCATCCAGACGCATATTTCCCTTGAGCCAGGTCTCTCACTCAGCCATCGCGTAGCACTAGAGCATCCCTTTGGTCGCCATTCTTCATGGCTATGTCTACTGTGCGAGCTCCAAAATCGTGGTTTTGGTTTTCGTGACGACCGGGTTTGTAGTCGACTTGTTCCTAAGCGGTGTCGTCTTGTCCAGATACTTGTCGACAATCAACTTGGCCTTAGGGAGAGGTTTCGTAGTAACGTTTTGATCAATTCCGCCACTGTCATGATCGCGTTCGAAATCTTTTTTCCAAACTCCTCGATCTTCGTCCTAATTTTCTTCACGGTACGATCGGCAGCCTTCTTCTCCTGGTGCGGGTTTGACCTGCGAGCGAAGTTCTTGATCTTCGCCTTAAATCTCGATCTGCGTTTCTTCAGTCTTTTCTTGACTGCCGATTTCGTGGCTGTCGTCACCACGTCGTTGACCCTATCTGTCAGCTCCGCAAATTTCGTCTTGGGAGCTATGATTGAGCCGATGGCTACTTTCTTCCGGTCCGGTGCAAAGTTACCCAAATGCTTATCGATGTTTACATTGTACCTTTTTGCGCGCCTCTTGAGTACAACTTTGGTTGCCTTAACCGCAACTTTTAGCGCGGCGTCGGTGAGCTTCTCTGCAAATCTCGTACGCTTGGTCTGGATTTCCACGGCCGAATCAGCGGCAATCCTTTTCCGATGCGGCGACATCTTGTTGAAAAGACGGACGATGCCATTCTCCAGCCTCGATGCCTCCTTTTGAAGTGTCACTCGAATGGCCAAATTCGCGGCCGTCATTACCAGGTCTGCGACCAGCCCACGAAGCATCGTATTGACTTTCACGACAGCCGGACTACCAGCCAGCGTCGTCCACATCGATGCCGACTTGCTTGACAGCCCATTCATAGCCGCCTCGTAGTTCAGTGCGAGCGCTTCAAGGGACGTCTTACCCTTGGTCGCACCGGTCATCATGAGGTCGGTGGCCGTCTGAGAGAGCTCCGTAATCTTGGTCTTCATCATTTGCGAGGTCGGATTGTTGCCCAACTGGGTCCAAAGTGGTGCCGCCGCTGCCAGAGACGTGTCGATGATTGCCTTCAGTTGCGCAGCGAGATTCGTAGCTTGCACCTTAGCTGTATCCGTAGCTGCCATCGCTACGTTCGTGGCTTTCGCCACCACGACGCTTTGCGAAGCCTTCGTGAATAGCGACTTGGCTTTGTCAGCGAAGCCAATTTGCCTCTCCTCACCGTCGACTTGTACCGCTTCCGAGTCGCTGTGCACAGGAGGAGCCTCTTCCAGAAGCGTCTTCGTGCTTAATTCGTTGACGCGGCCATCCACCACGAGGTCCACGCGAGCAACACCGGACCGAGCAACAGCCTTCGGGTCGACCGCGGACGAGATGGCGTCGCTCCAAGCCAACAGGTTCGCCACAACCGCCACGATGACGTACGCGAGACGCATGTTTTCGTGCGGGTTCAGTCCAACCGGCGAAGCGCAGTTGGTCGTGCGGACGCTTAAAGGCAAAGTGAGGTGCCCGCCGCCGCGTCTGTAGCTCTTCGGCCAAGACTGGAGCCACTGTATGCAGCAGGGGCCAATCCTGAAAACGCTCGTGGACCGGCTATGGGGACGTCAAAGACGATGTGACGAGCGCTTATTGAGCTGGCAACTAACTGGACGTTTGGATGCGATGAACGAGTTGCAAAACACGTACTTTTCTAGGTGCTGATACCGAATTATAGTCAGGTTCGTCAAGAAGCAACGAGACGAAATCGGGGGATTTCTCTCGTAGAGCTAAATAGCGTGCGGCAGATCGCTCGCTGGACGTTGCGTCGAGAGAACCTGCGTTAGCTGGTACAGTACCAATTCTGAACGCCAATCTTTACATCTTGACTGCCATTACATGATGGACTCGTCTGGAACCCATACCATAGAAAAGCCGACATATCTCCGTGATGTGTAGTGAGACAAATTTGTCATTGGCATCACAAATGCCTGTTTTTTGTGAGCCTTTCATCTGGGCTGCTCAGATGAGGGTCGTCTCTCTAAATTATCTTCTGGATCATCTGGTGGACTGCAAGGTCCCCAATTGTGTCCCACATCGCTGCACAATTGTCATCGTGCAGTCCCGGGGGGCTCTATCCACCCCTGCTGCACTGAGCACTCTCCGAGCGCCTAAAGTACCTGCTACACCTCACCAGCCAGAATGGGTGGAACTGCTTCATTGTGGACCCGTCTCACAGTTGCATCTGTAAGCCCCCATAAAATGTAGAGTGACCTCGTCCAGATCGTATAGAAACGTTGTCTTTGCCCTTCCTGGATCGTTAGAGGCTCACAAAAGTCCTATGGTTTGATACAGCGGGACTGCCGGATCGTGTCTTTGATGCCCTTCTGATCCAAAGGTTCTACTTCGGCAACGATGTCTTTTGTGGCGGTGGCTTCCTCCCCTGTAGTGAATGGTAGTTGCTGATTTTACAGAGCGCATAAAGCAACATTTCGGTTCCAAGAGTGCCTCAAGCAGTTGTTGGTGATCATTTCGTTAGCACATACTTTAGTAAGCCACAATTGCAAGCGTAATTACTAGTAGACTTTTTCGTGTCGCCTCCGGCGCGATATCGTATCTCGCTTCAGGGAAGGCAATTGAAAGATTGCCGATGGACGCCTTGCATACTACGGTCCATCTCAGCATCGCGAGACTTCATCTTCGTGGTGGTGCTTCGTTGGAGTTATATGACCGACGTGCTTCTACACCAAACGCTATCACGAAGCTCGACCTGAGGCACACGGACACTGTATAAGGTTTGTCTGAGATAGACTATCTGTCATTTGTACGATGATTTTCTGCCTTGCTGCATTGACGGAAAACAAATTGTGTACCACGTAAGTGTTTCGTTGACCCAAATCGTGCAATCAGATTGCTGTCATTGACGTGATGGCGGTGCGGAGGTCTGTACGACAAATGTCGTGTAGCCCGCCACAGTCGTAAATTTATCTGCTGTGAAGTGCTGCGGAACTATCGCAACCGATTCGTACGCACAGGAATGCATATGTTTGGTAGCGCGGGCAGTTTCCGAACGAGTTCTGCTATCCGCGCTACTTTTGGTCCAACGGGGGTCACCAGTTACAGTCGACAAGCACTGCTTCGTTCTCCCGACTGCCAGAACCAATCGGTGATACAGCAGCTTGATTTGATAGACGATGCCAACGATGGTCCATACAAGTTGGCACTGTCGGGTGGCGAAAGTACGACTAGCCAACGACGACAAAGGAGGGAAGTGACCTGCATGTTGAATGTAAGTGTCATCCACTTTTCCAAACGGGCGATACAGACGGCCGTCCGTTGCGGAGAGGTCGCTCGCTGGGCGCGATATCGATGTTGACGTAGGCTTAGCAACGAGCATCCCTATCATTGACAATTATCAATCGAAACGTATATATCGATGTTACTACGCAAAATAAGCTGCCGTTAAAATACATGCTAGATCTTCGTCAATACATTCTCTACGACCTCCTAAGGCTATCTGCTCGCGACATGCAGGAGCAAGTTTTCCAGGTACTTGTCATGCACGCTGCAGCAACTGGGCTATGTCCAGAGGGGTGACATAGATGATGAAAACGGCATTTACTCTTCATAAGCCGACAACATACGGTGACTTGCACAACATTACCGGTGAAAGTTCTTCTGCAAAAACCATAGGATTTCCAGAATCAGCTGTAGATCGCGACGAATGACATTGTTGTCGAGCAGTCGACCACAACGCCTGCGCGAAATGATGTGCCTGAATAGCTAGCGAATAACTAGATAGCGTTGTCAGTAAATACTAACGCTGAGTTTGTCACAAAACATCGCTGTATACGACTTGAGCTACCTATCTTGAGGTACATAGCAGTATGGATTGCAATGCTTTATACTAAGACAATTGGGTTCCATTCACTGATCCGAAGCATTGCCATGCTTCGAGTCGACAGGCGCATCAGGCTGACAGCTGTTGTCTGCCGATCTGATCGTCCTTCACCTTACAACCTGGTATCATCGTCTCTGGAAGGATAGGCGTATCACCGTGATATGACGCCCGCAAGGGCATGCCAAGCCACAGCCAGCTAGACCAGCTACGACTTGTTCACATCGACGGTCGAGCCACTCTACTTGCACGCTCTAGTTCTGTTCCATGTTCGTCTCAGCTCATACCACCGACACGAATCACTTGTCGTGTTTTCGACAGGCCTGTGCTTTGTCAAGTGGGCAAGGAAATTTCTCATCTGGTCTCGTCTGTTTCGTGGCTGTCTTTGTCCCTTGTCCACAATACCCACGTTTTTGTCAAGTTGGGCACAAAAGCATATTTCCGTCTCGTCTGTGAGTGGCCCTCTCTATCCAAGAATTAGCAAACTCCTCGGGAGAGGCGAGACGGCAGCAAGTGAAACATTCAATGGCAGCAAGTGAGGAAGCAAGTGAGTTAAATATACGTTACCAGCCCTTATGTGCCCAATGTCAACATACTAAATAGCTACCAGCTCCAACCGTGCCTCTATCGAATCGTCTTGTTTTGCAGCTAAAATTAGAGTCTGGCACAGTCCTAGGGAAGGATCGATTCAAGCAGCTGGCGAGACGCCTTCGGGAACATGCGCGGGTGGATGCACTGGACCCATTTCAAACGGGTCTGCGTTCATCATCGGCTATTTCTGCTGTAGCGGTGCCATTGGCTGCAGCTGGAAGTGCATTAGTGGCGGCAGTGGCTGCTGGAACGCAACTGGGCCTTGTTGAGCTACGGCCGCGTTAAATGAGCTATTAAGTAGATCCATTCCAACCTTCGCGCAATGCTGTTGTGGAGGTGGAGCTTATTTCGTCGATGCTTGGGCTGGAGGAGTCTGCTGCTACTGCTGGTCGCTCCAGATCGATGCACTATGCGTGGAGTACGACTTGTATGACGGATAGCACAAATCGTGGAGCGTGCGTTCGGCCCGACTCGTCAAGCCCCAGGCATTGGGGCCCGTGCACCAGTAACGCCACTTGAGATAGCCGAAGCTAACATCTGCCACTCGTAGACGTTTCCATTCGCTTATTCACCGCCCGGAGACTCGTCGTTGGCGTAGTTGCTAGGGCTAGCGTACTCTTGCTGCGGTTGTTGTTGGGTAAATTGGGGAGAGCACGGTCCCTAGCCGCCATAGGCAGACTGCGTGACGTAGCCACCTTGTTCCCCGTAGATACCCTGGCCGCCTTGGTTGTACGGATCGGTCGATCCAGTGCCCACAAGTATGTCAGCTCCAGGTGGAGCAGGTGCGGGGTTGTCTGGCGTGGTCAGACCCATAGGGCCTCATACGTTGTTGAAAACTATGCGCTTTCCTGCACCGAAGCCTCCGAGAGGTTCTGGGCCAGTAGAACTGCCGAGCCTAGGCGCGCCGCCCTGACCACCGTTGCTACCCCACTTGTTGACTCCAAACGGTCCTTGCTGGTCCACAAGTGGAAGCTTGGTCGGAAACGGAATGTCAGGCTTCTATAGCTGCAAAACAAGACGATTCAATAGAGGCACGGTCGGAGCTGGTAGCTGTTTAGAATGTTAACATTGGGCACTAAAGGGCTAGTAATGTATATTTAACTCACTTGCTGCTATCGTCTGTTGCACTTGCTGCCGTCTCACCTCTACCAAATTTCTCTCCATGGCATGACATTCATGGCTTTTTCAAAACCATATGGAGACGTGCCCGCCACCTTTCTTTTCTAGAATAGTGGCGCCATTCCAGGGCCGCCAAACACGCACGAGTAAAGCTCGAATCGATGAATACACCGGTATGTATTTTATTGTCATTCTGTGGATCATTATCCTCTTCCCTCTGCCCTCGCAGTCGTAGCAGGTGCTATGAAGAGACCAGAAAAGGACAAAAAGATGAACAGGTTTGATCAGAGGCCGTTGCACCAAACGTACGCTAAAGAAAACATGAACGCCCGCACATGAATCACCTTCTCCACTAGATCTCCATTGCGACCAGTCGTGTCGCTGTTTCGCAATCGCCATGTGAACTTGTTATCGACGTCCACCCGTATAATTACGATGGCTTTGCCAGACGGACTCGTGAGTAAAGTTCTGAGCTACTTCGTAGTTTGCGCCTCCGGGCAACAACGTCCAAGCGACGAAGGTCTTTAAAGAGCCGGGCAACCGACCCCTTCCCTGGGCAGGAGTCCTCTATAGTGGGATCCAGGCTCGAGGGAAGAGGCCTTCTTGTCGCCGCCTGCGCTACCGGAGACAGCGCAGCGCGCAAACCGAAAGGGGGGCAACAACTAAGACGTACCGGGTGAGGGGCACAAAGCCAGCGATTGTCATTTCAACCATGTTCAAACTATGCTATGTCAGCCCGCAAGGTCTCGGACCGCCCATGATTCTCGATCCCACGCATCGAATGCGTCTAGAACTTGCTCGACTCGGATTCAGCCAGATGCGCCAGCGACCCATCGGGGGTGATCGGAGTAC